TTCTGGGCACAGACCCAAAGGAAGTGAAAACACTACTTGTAAAGACGTCTGCACTCCCACATTTAGTGCAGCCTCATTCACAGCAGTCAGAACGTGTTATCACCTGAAGTGCCCGTCAGCCAACGATGACTACGGAAAGTGGTGTCCATACGCAGTGGCAGATGGGTCAGGCTTTAAAAAGGAGACCTGCCTCTCACCAGCACCGTGCACGAGCCTAGAAGACACTGTGCTAAGTGAGGTCAGCCAAACCCACTTAAAAATGTGGAATCAAAAAAACAGTTGACTATACAGAAACAGAATAGAATGGTATTTGTGGGGGCTGGTGCAGGGCACTTTGGAGAAATGAGAATGAAGGTCAAAGGGTACAAAGTTGCAGTTAGGTCAGAGGAGTAAGTTTGGAGGTCTGTGCTCTGTGAGGATTATAGTTAATATCATTGTAGATGGAGATTTCTGAGAGGATTCTGGGTATATTCAAATAAAGAAAACTATGGTGGCCGGCGCCATGGCTCACTAGGTTAATCCTCCGCCTGCGCCGCCAGCATCCCATATGGGCACTGGTTCTAGTCCCGGTTGCTCCTCTTCCAGTCCAGCTCTCTGCTGTGGCCCGGGAAGGCATTGGAGGATGGCCCAAGTGCTTGGGCGCCTGCTCCTGCATGAGAGACCAGGAAGAAGCACCCGGCTCCTGGCTTCAGATCGGCGTAGCTCTGGCCGTAGTGGCCATTTGAGGGGTGAACTGATGGAAGGAAGACCTTTCTCTCTATCTCTCTCTCTCACTGCCTAACTCTATCTGTTAAAAAAAAAAAATTTTTTTTGAAAGATTGATGTTATTCTGGTTAACTGTAATAATCACTTTACTATGTGTGTGTGTATCAAAAAGTGTTGTATACCTTGAATATAGCCAAAAAAAAATAGATACATACAGATGATCCCCAACTTACGATGGTTCAACTTAGGGTTTCTTTACAATGGCACCAAAGCAACAGGCATTCAATCAGAATAGTAATTCAGACTTTGAATTTTGATCTTTTCCCAGGCTGGCAATGTGGGGTCTCATACTGTCCTCGCACTGGGCAGTGGCAGCGAGCTGCAGCTGTCAGTCAGCCACACAGTCGTGAGGGCAACAGTGGACACTTCACAGTGTTGCCAAACTGTGATGGCCTGTAGCTGAGATGGAGGCCTGGAATCTCGACTTACAGTTTCATATTTTTTTTTTTATTTGACAGATAGAGTTAGACAGTGAGAGAGAGAGACAAAGAGAAAGGTCTTCCTTTCATTGGTTCACCCCTCAAATGGCCGCTGCGGTCCGAGCTACGCCGATCCGAAGCCAGGAGCCGGGTGCCTCTTCCTGGTCTCTCATGCGGGAGCAGGCACCCAAGCACTTGGGCCATCCTCCAATGCCTTCCTGGGCCACAGCAGAGAGCTGGACTGGAAGAGGAGCAACCGGGACTAGAACCAGTGCCCATATGGGATGCTGGCGGCGCAGGTGGAGGATTAACCTAATGAGCCACAGCGCCGGCCCCACAGTTTCATATTTTCAACAATGGGTTTGTTGGAACATAATCCCATTTCTTTGTAAGTCTAGCATCTATGTGCTACAAAGATTTTCAAGATAAATTTGCCACGGTAAAAAGGTAGATTTTTATATCCTAAATATGGGCCCCCTGTTGTGTTTGTATTCTTGCCCTGGCCCTTGGCAGATGCTGGGGTGGGCAGATACTTCCCTCCTGTGAAGTGCACATTGTCTGTGGTTAGCTGTTCCCTGGCTATTAATGAGCGCTTTACATTTGTTCTGTGTTGTTAAAAAAAAAACCTCCCAAATCTGTCTTCTTTTGCTTTTATTTTCTTTATGGTATTTTTGCCTTAGAAAATATTATATATATATATATGTATAGATAGATAGATATAGATATAGATAGATAGATATAGATACAGATAGAGATATCTTCTCTCACAGCCTGTGAGACTGGAACCTCAGAAAGTATCCTCCCTGCAGTCGGCTAGGTTTTCTGGAAGGATTTGTTTAGTGTTTAGTGTTTAGGTCTAAGCCACCTGGAATTTGTTTTTGTGATGTAGACGATAGGAGTCCCATCTTCTTGCCTTCCAGGGGGTTTCTTCCAAGCTCTATGAATGCCAGACCCTTCTGTCTCTCCATGTGATTGCCTGACCCCAAGCTCGTGTCCCAAATGGAATTGTTTTGTTTTGCTACTCCACCACGCACACACGCACACACCAGCAAGGAAACCAAGTCCCTCTTCTAATAACCATCCACCTTTCAGTCGTTGGTTCTCACGTCCCTCAGCTGCTGAGAGCTTTTCATGATTCTCTCCCACTCAGCCCACCTACAAATTCTGTCAGCTCCACCTTCAAACTGTGCCAGCTCCAGCCCACTTCTCACCCTCCCACGGCCAACACTTCCTCAAGCCTCCTTTGCTGTTTCTCCTCTTGTCTCCCTGTTAACCCCACCCCACAGCCAGAGGAATTCTTTGGAGATGAACTCTGTAGGAGTATAGCGTCCATACGGAAGCACACAAATCATATGCACTTCTGGGTGACTTTTTATGGAATAAACGCAGCCATGTAATCAGCGCCCGGATTTACAAAGAAGACGACGCTGCGGTCAGAAGCTTCCTCATCCCTCCTTGCATTTGCTTGCCTGGCTGCTTCTTTTTTTTTTTAAGATTTATTTATTTTATTTGATAGTCACAGTTACTCAGAGAGAGAGGTCTTCCATCCGCTGGTTCACTCCCCAGATTGCTACAACACCTAGAGCTGCACCTATCCAAAGCCAGGAGCCAGGAGCTTCTTCCGTGTCTCCCACACGGGTGCAGGGTTCCAAGGACTTGGGCCATCTTCTGCTGTTTTCCCAGGCCATAGCAGAGACCTGGATCGGAAGAGGAGCAGCCCGGACTCGTACTGGTGCCTATATGGGATGCCGGCACTGCAGGCAGCGGCCCCACCCGCTACACCACAGCGCTGGCCCCAATTGCCTGACGTCTACTCCATGGAAGATGTTTCTTACCTTTATTTAAATGGGATCACAGAGTGCCCTCCTTCGGCCCGCCCTCCCCCAGCGCTCTGAGACTTGTGTGTCTGTTGCGGTGGTTGGTTCCTGTCACAGCAGCGTGCTCCACTTCATGAAGGTACCACAGTTTAAATACTCCGCCTTTGGCGGACACGTATGTGTTCAGCCTGAGTGGTGACAGCCAGTGCTGCTGTGAATGTTTCTGTCCACTTTTGGTGAACACGATCATGTTTGTGATGGACAGGCACACGGGGAGCTGTGGAGTGTACATTCCTTCAGTGTCCGTAGGTAGTGCCAAATGGTTTTCCAAGGAAACCATAGCAACATCGGCTCTGAGCAGGCCTGCATGGAATCCCTGCACGCCCTTGCCAACCGTTGACATTATGTCTTTTTTTCTTGGTGTAGGCATTGTCACAGGTGGGTTTAGTGGTAAGAATGTTTTCTTTTTAAAACTTAGACTGTGAGGCAGGCGCTGTGGTGTAGTAGGCTAAGCCTCTGCCTGCGGTGCTGGCATCCCATATGGGCTCCAGTTTGTCAGTTCGTGTCCCAGCTGCTCCTCTTCTGCTATGACCTGGGAAAGCAATGGAAGATGACCCAAGCACTTGGGCCCCTGCACCCATGTGGGAGATGTGGAAGAAGCTCCTGGCTCCTGGCATTAGAATGGCCCAGCTCTGGCCATTGCAACCAATTGGGGAGTGAACCAGCAGATGGAAGACTTTTCACTCTGTCTCTTCCCTATATCTGTAACTCTACTTCTCAAATAAATAAATAAAATATTTATTTAAAAAAAAAACTTATAGACTGTGAAACCTTTTGGCTCAAACGCCTCAGTCACCTCCCATCTCAATCAGAATTAAAGCCTTAACAAAAAAATAAATAAATAAGTAAAGCCTTTACACTGGCCTCAGAGTAGGGTGACCAGATGATTTAGTGTTCAAACTGGAGCTTGCCTGGGAGCGAAAGGGACGCTGTTAATAACTGCCCTGGGATGACAGGCACAGATTTGGGCAGTCCTGTGTAACCACTCGCCACAGCCTTCCTCATCCGGTCCCGGGCTGCTCCTCTAATCTTGCCCCTACCACTCTCTTCATTTTATTCTCTCCAACCACCATGGCCTCCTTGAAATCCCATGAATATGGAAAGCATGCTTCTGTGTCTGGAACGCTTTTCCCCGGCGGTCAGCATGGCCTGCCCCTCACTTCCTTCAGGGGAGCCCTGTGTGAAGACAGCATCTCCCTGTCCCTGCCCCACCCGCCCTCAACCCCGTGCCCCTGGGTCCCTGGGTTCTTCCCCCGCGTTTCCATCACCACCTGAGTTCTTTCTGCTCTGGTACTCCCGCCCTCTGCCCCAAAGGCAAGCTGCACGGGAGGAGGGACTCTCTGCCTTTGGTTTACTGCTGGGTCCCAGCACACAAATACAGTGTACACGGTAGAATCTCCATGGCGGGTGTATGGTGCGGGTGTATGATTTCTTCAACTTTTTAATATATGAGAATTTTTAATGAAATATGGGGGGAACATTAACTTACGTGATGTTCGTGTGAAATAGGTACTCAAGGTGGGCTACCTGCAAGGCAGCATCGGGGACACCTGGAAGGGACAGGCACTCGGCCCATCTCCCCCACCCCTGCCCCCCGTCTACCAACTCAGGTCTCCCTTTTTCTTGGTGGCAACTTCAGAATCTCTGGGGAACCCAGAGGTCCAAGGGATTCTTATGCACATCAAAGTTTGAGAGACCCTCTGTTTTGTCCCCACTTTCTAAGTGAGGACAGTGAGACATAGAGACTAAAACTTGACTGAGGTCACACAGCCGGAAAAGGGTACTGAACTCGTACATCTGGCTGGAATGGCGGGACCGAAGAGCATCCCACTGGCCTTCATGTGTAACGGGAAAATTTCAGTGGCCTTAGGTCTCATTGCAAGCTGTGGGAGCGTTTCTCATCATCAAGCTGTTGCTTATTTCTGTTTATTTTTGGCAGAAACTTGGGAACCGTGGGTGCTGTTGCCTTGGACTGCAAAGGAAACGTAGCCTATGCCACCTCCACAGGAGGCACCATCAATAAGCTGGTCGGCCGGGTCGGGGACTCGCCGTGCGTAGGTAGGACCGTGGGCGGCTTCCGCCTTGCTCTCTCCTTCCTTCTCAGAGGTTTCTGCTCGTTGTCCGCTCTCTGCCCCTCTCGCCCCCTCTCTTTCTTCACCTCCCTTCTCTGATGCGGCCACTTCTGTTGGGGTTGGGAGGGAGTTGTACAGGGAACTGTCATGAGGGCATCTGCGTCAGGTGCCCACACCACCTGTCCTAGCTGGCATGCCTTTTGGAGCACTGCTTCGGGAGGGAAATGGAGATGGGGAATGCTAAAGCAGCCCCCAAATCACCCAGCGGTGCCTCTGTCTCCTGTGCGGCCCCAGGCACTGCAGCTGCAGGCTGAGTTGTACATGAAACCCTAGCTCAGGTACAGGCCCAAAGCAGCAGTCTTAGAAGGCCGAGAATTAAAGTGTGCAGCAAGTGACACGCGTCCACAGCAGTACTGGAGAGGAGCACAGAAGCATGGTCTCTCCCCAGACAGCTGCCTGGCAGAGAGAGGTGGCTGTGCAGACCTCCAGGCTCTTAGGGGAATTCTCGCGAGCACATGCAGACACCTGGAGTTTTAAGAAACAGTTGAAATGTGCCATCTGCCCACGTTTGGTGGGGAACCAGCCCTCCCCTCCCTCTCCAGGGTATTGCTGTCGTCTTTAGGGACAATCTGCACCCCTGATGATTCTCCACTGTGTCACGAACTCAGAGGAGACACTTGAAGCGGCTTTGAAGAGAAGCCTGCCTGATAGCTTTGTTGCCTCCAGAGATATGCAATAGTCTTTGTGTTTTCCCTTAACGAAATTTCCAGCCAAATAGGCCTGATCAGTAGTACAGCTTCCATCCATCTGGGTTCAGACAAGGACTCAGCCCCAGCCCAGGGTCCAATCCTAGAAACTAATTTTGGACCTGTTGAGTTTCCGTGGCAAAGTCTTGAAAGAGAAAAAAGCATGACCTGAATTCTCAGACGTCCTCGTCTTGGGCTCTGTCTGGCCTTTCTGGTGAACCCTCCTCCCCAGGGCGTGCTCCAGCTGGCACGGGGGACCCTGCATGGACATTCAGGAGGGATGATACCAGGCACACAACACCTTCCCCTCTGGCAGGGCAGCTGTCACCCTGAGAACGGATACCGGGATCCTGCTCCCCGTGCCAGGACCTCTCAGAGTCACCCTGGCCTTTCGTGGCCCTAGACCAACTGAAAACAGACTTGGGCCGGATATCAGGGCCTCTTGTCCCACCGGCCAGTTTGTCCCACAGCGACGTTTATAAAAAAAAAGGAAAAACTTTCTCCCATACCGTAGTTCACCTTCCTACCCATTTTCAGATCTGTACAGAACCAGTAAGGGGTTTGAGAGCCCTGGGGACCTTTGACATTCAACATAACAACTCCACTCCTGATCCATCCCCATGTCCAATATCAATACAAAAGGCAAATGTCAGTCATGGGGAGGGTCAGGTGGACGCTCCCAAGGCTTCAGGTGTGTGTGAACAGGGACAGGAATGCTGGAGAGAAGGCTGTCAGGTTGCCTAATCCCAGACCAGAATAAGACAGACACCAAAATAGTATGAACTCCAGCCCCTGTTTCATGGATAGCCCTGAACAGTTCCCTCGGTCCAGCTAAGTTCCCTCTAAATCACTGGGCAGTATGCGTGGATGTTAGGTTTGGGGGTACCAGTTATGCCAGAAGTATTTGAGTGCAGTGGTCTTCTTGGGGATCTGTCCAGGCCATCATGGTCTTCTCCCTTTGTGGGGGGTGGGAGGTCTTGCTCCACTGAGAGATGGGGGAAGGCTGGGCCGTGGGGCAGAGGAGGAACCATCCTGGGGTGACTGTTCTGTGGAGGGTCAAGCCTGCCTTGCCCGAGGCTCCACGGCCTGGACTCTGGGGTATTCACAAGCACCAGTGGGTCGCAGCTGCTCCTCTGTACTTGACCTTAGCACTCGGGGATTTAATGTGCGTGTAGCACGAGACTGGTAACGCTGCTGCTACTACTCAGAACCAGTCACTTTTTTTGAGCAGGATCTGGAGGTTACGCTGACAACAGCATCGGAGCCGTCTCAACCACAGGGCACGGGGAAAGCATCCTGAAGGTGAACCTGGCCAGACTCACCCTCTTCCACGTAGAACAAGGTGCGTGGAGCAGAAGCGCTGTGTCATAGCAGTTGCGGTTCCGGCATCCCATATGGGCGCCAGTTTGAGTCTGGCTCTCCATCTCCAGTCCAGCGCCCTGCTAATGCACCTGGGAAAGCAGCAGAGGATGGCCCAAGTGCTTGGGCCCCTGCCCCACATGGGAGACTCAGAAGAAGCTCCTGGCTTATCTCATGGCTGCAGATCAGCCCAGCTCCAGCCATTGAGGCCATTTAAGGAATGAACCAGCAGATAGTTTATTTTTTTTTATTTGACAAGTAGAGTTATAGACAGTGAGAGAGAGACAGAGAGAAAGGTCTTCCTTCCATTGGTTCACTCCCCAGATGGCCACTACGGCCGGCACTGTGCCGATCCGAATCCAGGAGCCGGGTGCTTCTTCCTGGTCTCCCATGTGGGTGCAGGGGCCCAAGCACTTGGGCCATCTTCCACCGCCCTCCCTGGCCACAGCAGAGAGCTGGACTGGAAGTGGAGCAACTGGGACTAGAACCGGCACCCATATGGGATGCCAGTGCCACAGGCAGAGGATTAACCAAGTGAGCCATGGCGCCGACCCCCAGCAGATGGTTTATAATAAATGCACTAATTTATTTGAAAAGCAGGATTATGAGGTAGGGGGTGGGGGAGAGAGACAGATTTTCCACCTGCTAGTTCATTTCCCAGTTGGCTGTGATGGCCTGGGCTGGGCCAGGCCAAAGCCAGGAGCCTAGAACACCATCTGGGACCCCCTCTTGGGTGGTTCCGCTGCTTTCCCAGGCGCCTTAGCCAGGAGCTGGATCGGATGCAGAGGCTTAACTCAGCCCCCACTCTTGCTTGTTTGCTGCTGGTGTTTCTTCCAAGATGCTGGCACTTTATTTTGACTCTGCTTCCCGTGTTCCCGTGTGTCAGGATCTGGAACAGGAAAGCAGTTAGAATACTGTCAGGGTCCACCTCCCAGGAGGAGGGGCACTGAGCCTGGGCTGGGAGGGAAGGCGCTGTGCTTAGGCTGCCCAGCACGGTCTGGGTGGGGAGGTGGGCATCCTCCTGAGCACCCAAGTAGAAATCTGCACCAAAACTCTCTGACCCTAACCCTAACCCTAACCCTAACCCATTCACTTGGGTTTTGCATACTGCAAATGATTTTCCCACGAGATCCCTTTGAGTAACATGCGTGATTTTTTTGAACCTTTCCTTGGTTTCAGGAAAGACATTAGAAGAAGCCGCTGACCTGTCGCTGGGTTATATGAAGTCAAGGCTCAAAGGTTTGGGTGGCCTCATCGTAGTCAGCAAAACGGGAGACTGGGTAGCCAAGTGGACATCTGCCTCCATGCCCTGGGCAGCCGCCAAGGATGGCCAGCTGCACTTTGGAATTGATCTTGACGACACCAAGGTCACAGAGCTGCCCTAAGTCTCCGGAAAGTGGAAAATCGTCTTGCTTTGCGTGCTGGCTTGGACGGATATCCTGGTGTGAAGGCTTAGCTTAACCAATTAGATCTAGAAATGGAAAAATGATGCCGTCTGTCGATGGTTTTGTTGTGTTGATCAGCAAGTATCTGATTGTCTGGTTGAGGGGAGGGTTCCAAAGTGATGAGAGAAATGCCCACGTTGAGAGCAGAGTGAGCCCCGGGAAGGCGACAAACTCTCGGGCGCCCTCCTCCGGCACAATCCCCGTTGTGTCAGGTGAGGAAGGGCTGCCTCAGGGGAATCGGGAGCCCCACAGCCTGCAGAAGCCTTGGGCTGCACCTGCAGGGAGGGAGTTGTGGGAAGGCTGTTGGAGCGAGAGGCAGGAGCAGCAGCAGAAGAGATCGCAAGGGACATCCAGGAGAACTCAGAGTGTTGCCGACTTCCTTTTAGTCGCAGGAACCTCCAGGGAAAGAAGGAGAGTCCTTTAAGCAGGGTGTCACTCATCTCTGAGGGAGAAAATGAATTTCCTGGGGGAGTTCAGCTCTCTCTGACTCGATGTGTAGACATGTGACCAGATGTGTCAGAGGCCCCTCTGGTAATCCGCGGCTCCCTCACCTGGAGATGAAGGGTCATGGTAGAGACCGTGCAGTCCCTTGCGGTCCGAGGGCTTCTTGGGTTCCCAGGTGAGCCCCTCCCCTCCACCTGCCAGTCCTCTGGGCCTCACCTAGTGAACAGCAGGGCTCACGACCCCTCCAGCAGCAAGGAGCAGGCTCTGATATAGAGATGAGCCGCGACCTAGCAAGCATCTGTCCTGTCCCGGCCATCGGAACACCCCCTCCAGGCCTGGGTGCTCGCCGCACCCCGAAACGTCCTTGGTGGACTGGAGAGCCCTCCAGTAACCTCTCATTTCACTGGGAATGGTGTTTCTGCTGTGACATGTCTACCTTCTCTCTGGAAAGAAACCGCTTACCGTTAAATTCCATGTGCCACTAATAAAATGTATTTTGAAAGAATAACAGTGTGGACAGGAGTACTATTGACAAAGACCCAAACATAGACAGGCCCTCCTTGGTCTTGGTTCAGACAAGGGGACCAGATAAAGAGTGCTCTTGAGATAAGGGTGAGAGGCCAGCATATGGCTCAGTGGGTTAAGCCAGTGGCATCCTGTATCAGAGCGCAGGTTTGCGGTCTGGCTGCACCACTTCCAATTCAGCTCCCTACTAATGCACCTGGGAAAGAAGCAGAGGATGGCCCAAGCGCTTGGGCCCCTGCCACCCATGTAGAAGACCTAGAGGAAGCTCCTGGCTCCCGGCTTTGGCCTGGCCCAGACCTGGCTATTGCAGCCATTTGGGGAGTGAACCAGCAGATGAAACATATTCTCCCCCACCCCCCACCCATCACTCTGCCTCTCAAATAAATAAATCTTTAAAATGACATATGGAGGGGCCAGTGTTGTGCCATAGTGAGTAAAGCCACCACCTATAACACCGGCATCCCATACAGGTGCTGGTTCATGTCTTGGCTGTCTATTTCCAATCCAGCTCCCTGCTAATGACCTGCAAAAAGCAGCGGAAGATGGCCCAAGTGTTTGGGCCCCTGCCACCCACGTGGGAGACCCAGATGAAGCTCCTGGCCCCTGCTTTGGCCTGGCCCAGTGTTGGATCTTGCCCATTTGGGGAGTGAACCAGCAAATGGAAGACATTCTCTCTCTCTCTCTCTCTCTCTCTCTGCCCCCTCCCTCCCTCTGTAACTCTTTCAAGTAAAATAAGTCTTGTTTAAAAAATAAGGCCTAGAGATAAGGGTGGTACGTGGTGTAGGCCATCCTGCCTCCTGGAGCACATGCAGTCTTCAGAAAGCTCCTGTGCTATAAGAAAACTGCATGGAGTACAATTGTTTTTGTACCAAAGTAGATGTACAATTGGATTCCATTTTCCACAAACTTTTTGAAGACTCCCACATTACAGAGCTTTTCAGAAGAACTGAGCTTTCTGATTGAGTTGAGGAAGAAGCCATGCCACCATTTGCAAGTATTTCCAGGGTCTGTAGCTCAGTCCTCCTGCAGTCTGCCAGTTTTCACCCCAGACAGATGCACACAGCTCTTGCTCCCGTCCCAAGACCCTGCTGGGCCCACATCAGCGGCTCTGAACTGCTGCAGAACGGAGCTCAGATCCCCCCGTGACCCTGGAAACCTGGGCTAATTACCTTACAGGCCTTTTCACATATGACATACGAGATTAAATAAAAGTAAAGGAAAAGGGCTTAGTGTTTCGTCTTAACGGATCCAACAGACAAACATGGAAACTGCGGTCAGGCCTGGGAGAGGGTTTCTGTGTTTATGTTCCTGAAAACCTCAATGTACAACTGCCCCCTTTAGAACGAACATTTGGGGAGTGAGCGTTGTGGCACAGTAGGCTAAGCTACCACTTAGGACACCAGCACCCCTGTCGTCAGCGTGCAGGTTCAAGTCCCTGGCTACACTGTTTCCGATACAGCTTCCTACTGATGTGCCTGGGAAGGCAGCAGAAGATGTCACAGGTCCTTGGGTCCCTGCCATCCATGTGGAACACCCAAGTTGGAGCTCCTGGCTACTGGCTTCAGCCTGAGCCAGTCCTGGCTGTTGCAGCCATTTGAGGGGCAAACCAGATGAAAGATCAGTCTGTCTCGCTCTCTCCATTTCAAATATTTTAGAAAAAAGTATTTTGTTAGGAGGCGTATTAGTTTGCTAGAGCAGCCCCAGCCAAACACCCTAGACTGAGTGGCTCAAGTTCAGTTGTGGAAGCTGGAAGCCCAAGGCCAAGGGGTGTGCAGGTCCGGTTTCTCCAGCAGCCCCTCCTGGGTTTGTGGATGGCATCGTCTCACTGTGTCCCCACACGGCCTTTGCCACCTGCATGCACACCCCTGGTCCCCCTCCCTGTGTGTGAGACTTCCTCTTAAAGACCCTGTCTCCAAATACAGCCGCAGTCTGAGCTACTAGGGCCTAGTGCTTCAACATGAATTTGGAAGAGGAGAGAATTCAGCCCGTGGCAGAAGGCAAAGCAGAATCCGACAAGGGGGACAGCCTGTGGAGGAGGTAGAAGTCATTAAATGGAAAAGGAAGGCCCCTGGAAGATCTGATTTGGGGCTTTCCTCATCGATTCTCCTATTCACAGGGGGAGGTAACCCTAGTTCTTGGAGGCTCAGCTAGTGGCCGCTCAGCTTGTGGCCACTTGGTCTGTTTGGGTGGCCCAATCCTGGAATACAAGGTTGTCAGCCCCTTTGGGCAGAGCTCTCAGGCCTTGGTTCTATGAGAAGCCACCTCCACTAGCCTTGGGATTCCACTTGTCTGGGGCCTGCTCCGTAAGTGTTCACCGAACAAATGAGCAAGGTGTTATTTAAAGGGATGACGGCCTTTATCACTCTCTGCCACTAGATGGCAGCAAACCATAAAACATGGCGGTTGGAAAGGGAGGTGATCTCCCCGCCCCCTTGGTAACATCTGAAGTCTCTTGTAAAAATTTGGAGCCAAAAGAGGATTCCGGTTCCTGCCCTTCATTTTTCATGCAAGTACTACGATTTAGTTTACAGCAGCATTGTCCAAAAAGAACGAACGCTCGCAGAGGCCACACAGAGCCCATCCAAATCAACAGCTGAGCCCCACTCTGCCCCAGGGCCTGCTGCCTGCCTTCCAGCCAGGAAGACAGGTGGTAACTGGGCCCCCACCCACCACAGTGGGGAGACATGAAGGAGCCCAAGAACAATAAACTTCTTGTTCTGTTTTTCAGAGAATGTCCTCTCTAGATGCAGCATGAGAAACTCCGAGTGCTGGCAATGGGGGGGCTGGCAATGCTCTTCAGTGTCCCTGTCACTGGAGGTTTGGGTCTGGGGGCTGCTGCTCAGGGGGCTCCTCTCAGCCCCCACCCTCTCCAGGGTCCTCCCATCCCTTTCAAAACCACCACCAACTTTGGATTTTACAGCAGTTGTGAGGAAATAAGGAGGTGGCCTCACAGAGCTGGGCCACTGAAGAAAAAGGCAGGTGTCCTCTCTCTGCTCTGCATGATGTCGGCGTGACCCAGAAAAGAATGAGGCGCAGCCCAGGGACAGAGGCAGAACCGGGTTAGGAATGGGGTTGGGAGGAAGTTTGGGCCTGGGACACTGGTAGGGTTGGGGCAGGGGTGGGTGTGGTATGGGAGCCAATTAGTGGCTCCCTCCAAAATATAAATACCACTGAATGGGAAAGCAATACTTCTACCTGACCCCACACCAAACACAGATGCCCACAAAGAATTGAGCCATAGTCATCTACACCTGTGTCTTCTGAGAGGTTAAAAACAAAGAGGGCCAGGCTCAGGGCTTAAGACGCCTTCACTCCACATTGAGTGCCCGCCTGGAGCCCCAGCGACCCCACTGCTGATCCAGCTGTCCACGAATGTACACCCTGGGAGGCAGCAGACGATGGCTCAAGTGCTTGGGTCCCTGCAACCGGTGTGCATCAGACCCAGTTGGAGTCCCAGGCTCCTGGATTCAGCCAGGCCCAGCCTTGGCTGTTGCAGGCATTCAGGGAGGGAGGGAATGAGATGAAAGACTGATCTCTGGCCGGCGCCCTGGCTCAATAGGCTAATCCTCCACCTTGCGGCGCCGGCACACCAGGTTCTAGTCCCAGTCGGGGTGTCGGATTCTCTCCCAGTTGCCCCTCTTCCAGGCCAGCTCTCTGCTATGGCCCGGGAGTGCAGTGGAGGATGGCCCAAGTGCTTAGGCCCTGCACCCACATGGGAGACCAGGAGAAGCACCTGGCTCCTGCCTTCGGATCAGCGCGGTGCGCCAGCTGCAGCGTGCCAGCCGCGGCGGCCATTGGAGGGTGAACCAACAGCAAAAGGAAGACCTTTCTCTCTGTCTCTCTCTCACTGTCCACTCTGCCTGTCAAAAAAAAAAAAAAAAAAATTGATCTCTGTCTCTCTCACACCCTTGCTCTGCCTTTCAAATTGAAAATAAATTGAAAATAAATACAAGGAGAAGCACAGGGATTTTTCTGTCCATTCGAAGGATAGGGAAAAAAATGAGGCTCAAATAAACTGGAGCTTCTTCCCAGCCATTTGCTCCACATTGCTAACCTGAGGATTTTGTCTGCTTCCCCGAGTCCTGTGGCTCTCGGACCTGACCTGACCATCCTCATGCCAGCAGCCAGCATCCTCCTGGATCTAGGGACAGCCCAAGAGTGTCTCAGTGAGAGGCAGGAAAGACAAGCACATTTTGACAACTTTGTCCTTCAAACTCCAGGGTTTTTCCCAATCCACCATTAAAATGAAGTTGGGTTTCCAGTGAAAGGCGGGCCGGGCACAGACTCGTGGACGGGTTGATAGAGGAAAGCAGCCTGGGTTGTTTTTGTTTTGTTTTGTTTTGTTTTGTTTTGTTTTGTTTTTTCCCAGTCACTGATCATCTCAGAGTTAACTGTTTTTTGCTGTGCGGTAGTCCACACTTTCTAGATCCTGTGCGGAATTCTGTTCAAAACTTTGCCTGGGAGCCGAGGAGAAGAGCAGCTGGGTCCTCCCACCCCTTGAGACTGAGCCTCCTCCCTTAGGGCCACCCTCGACTACCTGGCACAAGAGACCTCTGGGTTATCTTGAAGGGTAGCAATTTGTTACCAAGCATTTTTTAGTTAAATGCTTAATGGAGCCAGCGTTGTGGTGCAGCAGGTGAAGCTGCTGCCTGCGACACAAGCATCCAATGTAAGTGCTGGTTCGAGTTCCGGCTGCTCCACTTCCAATTCAGATCCCTGCTAATGCGCCTAGGAAAGCAGCAGAGGATCACCCAAGTGCTGACTCCCTGCCATTCTTGTGGAAGACCCAGCTGGAGTTCCTGGCTCCTGGCTTCAGCCTGTCCTAGCCCCAGCCATTACCACCATTTGGGGAGTGAACCAACGAATGCAAGATCTCTCTCTAACTGCCTTTCAGATGAATAAAATCTTTTTAAACATAAAAATAAACTTTTACTGCATCAAAAAGCAGTATGTGTGGATTGTGGAAAAATAAAATCTAAAATA